AGAAGATGGTCGAATCGGCCGTATTTTCAGACAATTGATTCAAGTCTTTGATTGAGTCGTCGCTGTTGTTGTCTTTCTTGTATTTGTTCTCAAAGAGCCACTGACTGTTACCCTCGTCATCGATGCGATTCCACCACCGAAGACCCACTAATAGCCTTCCCGTCACGTTCTTTACGGTCCAGAAGTCCATTGATATCAATAAAATCAATAAAACAAATATTGACAGAAAGTCTGAAATCAATGGCATTCACGTTAGTGTTATTTGTGACCACAAGAACTCAATGATTGGACAAACCCTGGCCGAAGAGACCGCCAAACAAATAGGTGACAATCGATGACATCTTGAATATGATGTGGAAGAAGGCGGCGCTCGGATGTCTGTCACAGTTAAGGCAACCATCAGTTTATGGCATATTATCAACAGATGATTAGATATCATACTTAAACCGCTGATGTCTGGTCACAGTTATGTCTCTGTCGAAGTCAAAGATGATGTGTTCAGGACTTGATGGTGAAGACATCGATGAGGGCTTGCCATAAATACAAACATTTGTCACTCTCATAGCCGACAATTGTCTTGTCTGGACATACCTTCTGACCCATCATTATATGGATTGCAATCAATTGAAAGTGTTGTCAAAGAGTGGATGTGTTGTTGTTTNTGTTGTCAAAGAGTGGATGTGTTGTTGTTTTGGTCACACATTCACGTCATTCACTGCCAATCACTACAACACTTCACTCTATTGGCTATGCATTGCACTCACAGCTATTGGCAATACTGTATGCCATCATACCCAGGGTCTCATTCAAATCAGTTCATTCATTATAATAGTTATAATATAGTTATAATATTATAGTCATTATAGTTATAATAGTTAATTGACTTAATTGTTAGAAGTTGTTGTAATTTTGTCAATATTTTAATGCTATTTTTACAAATCATTGTACTATACAAAGGATTTAATAATTAGTCAAAAATATAATTAACTTTACATTTGTTGAAATGTGAGAATAAATTCA